TCTATAAATATTATAAGATAAAGTCATATCATCTGCATATGTACAATATAGTACGGTACATAAAAACAATACATACAGATATATAGATATAGAGCTATAGATATAGATATATAGAGCTATAGATACATAGATCTATAGATATAGATATATAGCGCTATAGATATAGATATATAGAGCTATAGATATAGATATATAGAGCTATATATATAGATATATAGAGCTATAGATATAGAGCTATAGATATAGATATATAGAGCTATAGATATAGAGCTATAGATATAGAGCTATAGATATAGATATATAGAGCTATAGATATAGATATATAGAGCTATAGATATAGAGCTATAGATATAGATATATAGAGCTATAGATATAGATATATATAGAGCTATAGATATAGAGCTATAGATATAGATATATAGAGCTATAGATATAGATATATATAGAGCTATAGATATAGAGCTATAGATATAGATATATAGAGCTATAGATATAGAGCTATAGATATAGATATACAGAGCTATAGATATATAGAGCTATAGATATAGAGCTATAGATATAGATATATAGAGCTATAGATATAGATATATATAGAGCTATAGATATAGAGCTATAGATATAGATATATAGAGCTATAGATATAGATATATATAGAGCTATAGATATAGATATATAGAGCTATAGATATAGATATATAGAGCTATAGGTATAGAGCTATAGATATAGATATATAGAGCTATAGATATAGATATATAGAGCTATAGATATATAGAGATATAGATGTAGATATATAGAGCTATAGATATAGATATATAGAGCTATAGATATAGAGCTATAGATATAGATATATAGAGCTATAGATATAGATATATAGAGCTATAGATATATAGAGCTATAGATATAGATATATAGAGCTATAGATATAGAGCTATAGATATAGATATATAGAGCTATAGATATAGATATATAGAGCTATAGATATATAGAGCTATAGATATAGATATATAGAGCTATAGATATATAGAGATATAGATGTAGATATATAGAGCTATAGATATAGATATATAGAGCTATAGGTATAGAGCTATAGGTATAGAGCTATAGATATAGATATATAGAGCTATAGATATAGATATATAGAGCTATAGATATATAGAGATATAGATGTAGATATATAGAGCTATAGATATATAGAGATATAGATGTAGATATATAGAGCTATAGATATATAGAAAGGAATATTGATGATAATAATCATAATAATACACTGAGGAGTTGTGTTGCACATGAACGGTCCAAATAGTACCCCTATTCCCTAAATAGTGGACAGCATTATGGACCCCCAGGAAGATTAGCTGACGTCATGGGGATCCTAATAAAAAAATTCAAATATAGTGCACATACTTTTGACTATGAGTACTATGGGCCCTGGTCAAAAGTAGTGCACTACATAGGGAATAGGGTGCCGTTTGGGCCGTGCCCAGCACAACTGAAGAGCCGCTTTAGAGACGGCGGGAGCAGAGGACTGAATCTGATTGGATATGACACATCAAAGTCACCTTGATCTCCGGCGAGATCGGCCAATGGCGCGGCAGGCCTTCGGTGACGTAACCATAGATACACCATGAAAGACTAGTGCACAACTAACAACGCCTACTAAAGCATAGATCGTCTGCGTTCGAAGACGATTGGAATAAAACAATTATAGGTCCCGATGTCTTTAGCACACTGTTGAAATCCCAATGATCATCGATACTGTTCTCTGGTACAGTGGAATCTCTACAGACGTTATTGTATAGGTATAGTATTAGGACTGTCACTGGGCCCAAATTCTTTTGAGTTATTGAGACGTAATGCATTATAGCTCTCCTGTAAACAATAGATAATCGTGTAGGGGTCTAATGAGGAATAGACATTACTCTGGCTATCTCCATTCTATTTTTTTTCTGTGGGAAAGATGACCATCGCTATTTAGTGTTTGTTTTTAACACCAAGACCACATTGATATGATATCGGCCATGATTTCAAGGTATGTTGGGTGTTATGATCGCTCTAATTTTCCTTCTATGTCACGGGCTAGCTAGGTACCGCATTTACACTGCCCCCTTTACAGAGGAGAGACCACCAGCTGATTGGCTGAATGGCAATTACAACCAATCACAGGCTGGGGTCATTGGGCTGTTCAGGTGAGATCCAAAAGGAGTGTGTGAAGCTATACAACTTTACATACTAATACACCTTAACACATTATATGGGTTTGGGCCTGAAACACAGACACGTAAATATACATTTAAGATCTCCTTTATAGTTCTGATTCATATGATACGTAATAGCAGGTGGTCGTAATCATGAGTTCCGGAGCGTTTTGTTCTGTAGCCCCTTTACACTCGCGCCTGAAATTGGAACGCGGCTGTACAGTAACATTGCTATACCTGACATCAGATCTCAGGCTCTGTCCTTCACAGCGCTCTCTGTATGGGTTTTGACTGACAGCACTGCTAATTGGGCAACTTTTGCTAATGTTTTGTTGTCTGAGTGAGAGAAAATGCTGTAAATTAAAAAAACGACTATGTGTTTTGAAAGATGAGACGTTGAGGATTATAATAAATACCGCTTTGATGTCATATAACCGAGCCAAACACCGGAGTCCAAATGTGCACTTCACATTTCCAAATCATAAAACTCATGTTATATACAGTGTCAACGTTTATGATCACTTGTGTTTGATGTACAGTTACAAGATGGCGTGGCGTCACACCATGGGTTGTTCTGAACAGAATGAGCCTGTGTTTGTCTATTGTGAAGAAAATTACGCTGAATGTATCCAGAGTATTTTCAGATTTCATTATCAACAAATGTGACAAAGTACAGTAAATGTAAAATGCACATAAAATCAACAGTGTAATGTTTGGATTCAGTCTTCTGTCAGGTGAACTGTTATGTCCTCACCTTGGGTCTGTGTCACGCCCTGGCTCTGGGGACTCTGAAATGTTGAGCCAGGGTGTGTAGTTTCTATGTTTAGTTTTCTATGTTTGAGTTTCTAGATCGTGTAGATCTATGTTGGCCAGGGTGTGGTTCCCAATCAGAGGCAGCTGTAGTTCGTTGTCTCTGATTGGGGACCATACTTAGGCAGCCGTTTGGCACCAGTCTGGGTGGGATCTTGTTCCGTATAGGTATGTTATTAGTCTACCTGGGACTTCACGTATCGTTTGTTTGTTGTTTTGTTCGTGTTCAGTACGTTAATAAATATGTACGCTTATCACGCTGCGCCTTGGTCCGTCTCATCCGTAAACGATCGTGACAGACTAATAATGGTCCCATAATCTCCAAACTGTTCCCTTTTAATTGCCACCATGATTATGCATCTGCTTTTCATATTTATTCAGTAAGAAACATTTCCATGTAGCCCTATCCATGTAGACTAATTCCCACGAGTGTAAAGGGTTAAAAAGCATTGCTCGGTAATCTGTCTAACTGATCCTGTGTCTTCTTGAGAACTTATTCCAGCCTTTTTTGCTTCTTCATTAGGATCAGCTATTTTTTGACTACTTATATTATTACAAGATATGTTGTTGATGTTAAATGTGATTGATAGTTGTCATCATGACCATTCTGCTGCTACGGCTGCACTGACAGAGATAACTAACTACCGATATATAGCTGCTTGTAAAACTGCAGCACCCTATGCAGACAAAAGGGTTACCCTGTAACCACCAATCACGCTCACATTTTAAAACTAAAACATTTCAAATCAAAAACAAGATCATCATTTGAGAACATGATATTTGTGGCTTCAATTCCACTGGAATCTTGTGTTGCCACCATAAGCAGCTTGGCAATCAACATCCTAATGTTCCTTTTAGTGTGCTCACAACCATAACATTACATTCAACACAACAGGGACACTGAACGAGGCAAACAGGAACTTGTTCACCTCTAGAGGGTAAAATAAATAAATCCCAAATTGGTGGTAGTGATCAAAACCTTATTTCATGATGACAGGTGATCTCCTGGATCCTATTGATGTAGTTGTGAGGGAAAGAGGCAGAGAGTTGGGTCACATCGATGTTAATTGAAGAGAGGCAGAGAGTTGGGTCACATCGATGTAATTGAAGAGAGGCAGGGAGTCGAGTCACATCGATGTAATTGAAGAGAGGCAGGGAGTCGAGTCACATCGATGTAATTGAAGAGAGACAGAGAGTTGGGTCACATCGATGTAATTGAAGAGAGGCAGAGAGTTGGGTCACATCGATGTAATTGAAGAGAGGCAGAGAGTTGGGTCACATCGATGTAATTGAAGAGAGGCAGAGAGTTGGGTCACATTCAGCAGGTAAACATTGTGGAAAGTTGCAGATAGAAATGTCATAAATAGAGCTGACATGATTCCTTACTGTAGGCTAGGCTACATGTCAGAGACGGCATGTTTGCTCTTCACAACATATTTCTATCTGAACGTTCCACAGTGTTGTGGCCCGCTGAATTCATCCTGGGGAGAGCGGAGGTTGACGTTCATAGTTGAGCGCTATTACTGGATCCTACCAGTGGCTGGATCCTACCGGTGGCTGGATCCTACCGGTGGCTGGATCCTATAGGTTGCTGGATCCTACCAGTGACTGGATCCTACTGGTGGCTGGATCCTACCGGTGACTGGATCCTACCGGTGGCTGGATCCTACCAGTGGCTGGATCCTACCGGTGGCTGAATCCTACCAGTGGCTGGATCCTACCAGTGGCTGGATCCTACCAGTGACTGGATCCTACCGGTGGCTGGATCCTACCAGTGACTGGATCCTACCGGTGGCTAGATCCTACCAGTGACTGGATCCTATAGGTTGCTGGATCCTATCAGTGGCTGGATCCTACTGGTGGCTGGATCCTATCAGTGACTGGATCCTATAGGTTGCTGGATCCTATCGGTGTGTGGTCGGTGCATGATGTAGTTAGTGATGTTGTAAGGGAGGAGGGAAAGGCAGAGATCTGATTGGTTGATGTTCTTGTCACTTAGTTGCCAGGCAGGAAGCTGAGGATGTATTCTCCCGCGCCGAAGAAGTAGACCACCTGGGCGATACCAAATAAGGGCGCGATGACCAGGGCACGGCAGTACGCCCCCTTCAGGAACGCTGAGGGACCCTCGTTCTTCATGATTTTACTGATGGGAGAGGAGAGGAGAGGAGAGGAGAGGAGAGGAGAGGAGAGGAGAGGAGAGGAGAGGAGAGGAGAGACACGGGCAACACAGATTAGCAACAAGATATCAGTGAATAGTTTTACCTCGTTACTAATTATGTTTTTTAACTGAATATGGCAACGCACCACAGCTGCTAAATTGTTGCCGCCAAAAAATATGGAACAGGAACAAATATAGCGATGCTAATGATAACCGTCATCTGGTAGATGGAAAGGCTTTCCCAAAAACCTTCTCAATTAAATGTTAACTAGCTACAAAGTAGCCTATGCCTACCTAGCAGAATGATATCATCATTATTTCCATAAATCCAGTGGACATTTGTTTTGCAAATCCATGTGTGCTATGAAACACAAAAAACAACAGTGTACTTGAATAATAACTACACTGGAAATTACCAACTTTTCAAATATTCAAGGTATTCGAATATAGCTTATATATTTAATATAGTTTATATATTTAATATAGTTTATATAGATTTTTAACTAAAAGGCAACTATTATCTTTTATATTCAAATAAAAGTCTCAGAAAAGTGTCACGCCCTGACTCAGAGGACGCTTATATGTTGAGTCAGGTTGTGTATATTCCTTGTTGTGATTTTCTATGTTTAGATCTAGTATGTCTAGATCTATGTTGGCCGGTGTGGTTCCCAATCAGAGGCAGCTGTCGCTCGTTGTCTCTGATTGGGGACCATACTTAGGCAGCCTATTGGCACTAGTGGGTTGTGGGATCTTGTTCTGTGTTAAGGTATGTTGTGTTGCGCTGCCTTGGACTTCACGGTTCGTTGGTTTGTTGTTTTGTTGTGTTGTTTATTCATTTAAATAAACATGTACGTATATCACGCTGCGCCTTGGTCTGACCCGTGTATGAACAAACGTGACAGAAGATCCCACCAAACGAGGACCAAGCAGCGTGTCCAGGAGCAGACAGCCTGGACCTGGGAGGAGATCCTGGACGGTAAGGGATCCTGGACTTGGGAGGAGATTCAGGCTGGGATGGATCGCCGTCCTTGGGAGGAGACAGTGGAGGCCCGGTATAGAGAGGAGAAACGGCGCCAACAGTGCCGACGACGGAGACCCGAGAGGCAACCCCAAGAACATTTTTTTTTTGGGGGGGGGGCATACGGTGTGGATGACGAGGCAGCAGGAGGCCGTTAAAGGGCGGGTCTGCAGGTTAGGAGAGGAGGCCACCATGTTACGGGGGCTATTGGTTCAGAGGGAGCAGGAGTATTTCGGTCAGAGGGAGGCGCTACAGGAGGCGAGAAGGAAGGAGTAGAGGCACGGCGAGAGGAGCTGGTTAGGCAGCAGAAGGAGCGGGGGTTAATAATGGAACCCGGTCTGACCCGTCTATGAACGAACATGACTGAAAGTATTTAAAAGTATTTTGAATACCTCTCAGAAAACCAAATAATAGTTGAAGGTATTTGAATATATGCAAGTTATTTGAAAACCCCCCCCCAAAATATTGATTTGATGGCTGCCAAATATTTGGTTTGGAGGGCTCTTAGATATGAATCTTAATACAGCCTATAATTAGATACATGAGGGACATGGAATCCCCTCAGCATTAGAGTAGATCACTTCTGCAGCTTCAAAATGACTAACAAATATGTATGTGTATATATATATACACAGTGGGGAAAAAAAGTATTTAGTCAGCCACCAATTGTGCAAGTTTTCCCACTTAAAAAGATGAGAGAGGCTTGTAATTTTCATCATAGGTACACGTCAACTATGACAGACAAAATGAGAAAAGAAAATCCAGAAAAACACATTGTAGGATTTTTTATGAATTTATTTGCATATTATGGTGGAAAATAACTATTTGGTCAATAACAAAAGTTTCTCAATACTTTGTTATATACCCTTTGTTGGCAATGACACAGGTCAAACGTTTTCTGTAAGTCTTCACAAGGTTTTCACACACTGTTGCTGGTATTCTGGCCCATTCCTCCATGCAGATCTCCTCTAGAGCAGTGATGTTTTGGGGCTGTCGCTGGGCAACACAGACTTTCAACTCCCTCCAAAGATTTTCTATGGGGTTGAGATCTGGAGACTGGCTAGGCCACTCCAGGACCTTGAAATGCTTCTTACGAAGCCACTCCTGAAAGACCCAGCCACGTTTCATCTTCAATGCCCTTGCTGATGGAAGGAGGTTTTCACTCAAAATCTCACGATACATGGCCCCATTCATTCTTTCCTTTACACGGACCCTTTGCAGAAAAACAGCCCCAAAGCATGATGTTTCCACCCCCATGCTTCACAGTAGGTATGGTGTTCTTTGGATGCAACTCAGCATTCTTTGTCCTCCAAACACGACGAGTTGAGTTTTTACCAAAAAGTTATATTTTGGTTTAATCTGACCATATGACATTCTCCCAATCCTCTTCTGGATCATCCAAATGCACTCTAGCAAACTTCAGACGGGCCTGGACATGTACTGGCTTAAGCAGTGGGACACGTCTGGCACTGCAGGATTTGAGTCCCTGGCGGCGTAGTGTGTTACTGATGGTAGGCTTTGTTACTTTGGTCCCAGCTCTCTGCAGGTCCTTCACTAGGTCCCCCCGTGTGGTTCTGGGATTTTTGCTCACCGTTCTTGTGATCATTTTGACCCCACGGGGTGAGATCTTGCGTGGAGCCCCAGATCGAGGGAGATTATCAGTGGTCTTGTATGTCTTCCATTTCCTAATAATTGCTCCCACAGTTGATTTCTTCAAACCAAGCTGCTTACCTATTGCAGATTCAGTCTTCCCAGCCTGGTGCAGGTCTACAATTTTGTTTCTGGTGTCCTTTGACAGCTCTTTGGTCTTGGCCATAGTGGAGTTTGGAGTGTGACTGTTTGAGGTTGTGGACAGGTGTCTTTTATACTGATAACAAGTTCAAACAGGTGCCATTAATACAGGTAACGAGTGAAGGACAGAGGAGCCTCTTAAAGAAGAAGTTACAGGTCTGTGAGAGCCAGAAATCTTGCTTGTTTGTAGGTGACCAAATACTTATTTTCCACCATAATTTGCAAATAAATTCATTAAAAATCCTACAATGTGATTTTCTGGAGAAAAAAAATCTCAATTTGTCTGCCATAGTTGACGTGTACCTATGATGAAAATTACAGGCCTCTCTCATCTTTTTAAGTGGGAGAACTTGCACAATTGGTGGCTGACTAAATACTTTTTCCCCCCACTGTATTTATATATATATATATAAACATGGGGGATTGGAAGTGATGCAGACAATTACATTGATAGATTGTATCTTCTATCTGCAATATTAAGCTGATCTACCCCCAAAATAGAAGAAAAATAAATAATATATATATGTACATAATGAGTGACATAAGGAAACACAATAACACTTGACATCCAGTTCTTATACATGTGTAGTAACTTTGTGATTATTACAATAGCAACATTGTCGTTACATAGGACTTTGGAAATGTCTTTATAATTGCATAGTAATGGAGTTATTACATAAGTGGGAGAAGGAACTGTCGCTATTCCTCAAATACAGCAGCTACAAAAACTCTCAGCTCATTGCTATGCAATTAAAATGCAATTACCAAAATATTATCTAACAACATGCTAATAAAAATGTTGCTCCAAAAGTGATTAATTACTGTTTTTATTACACAAGAACAGTTTAACGTCAAGTGTTACTGAGAACGCTAACAGTAACACAATATGGATGTTAAGTGTCGAAACTAAATATCCCAAAACTGCCTTCTTGAATCAACTACAGCCAAGGTAGGTGGAAAATCATGTTAGTTTGAGTACGTAGATCAAGTTAGTTTGAGTAAGTAAATCATGTTAGTTTGTGTAAGTAAATCATGTTAGTTTGAGTAAGTAAATCATGTTAGTTTGAGTACGTAGATCATGTTAGTTTGAGTAAGTAAATCATGTTAGTTTGAGTAAGTAAATCATGTTAGTTTGAGTAAGTAAATCATGTTAGTTTGAGTAAGTAAATCATGTTAGTTTGTGTAAGTAAATCATGTTAGTTTGAGTAAGTAAATCATGTTAGTTTGAGTAAGTAAATCATGTTAGTTTGAGTAAGTAGATCATGTTAGTTTGAGTAAGTAAATCATGTTAATTTGAGTAAGTAAATCATGTTAGTTTGAGTAAGTAAATCATGTTAGTTTGAGTAAGTAAATCATGTTAGTTTGTAAGTAAATCATGTTAGTTTGAGTAAGTAAATCATGTTAGTTTGAGTAAGTAAATCATGTTAGTTTGTGTAAGTAAATCATGTTAGTTTGAGTAAGTAAATCATGTTAGTTTGAGTAAGTAAATCATGTTAGTTTGTGTAAGTAAATCATGTTAGTTTGAGTAAGTAAATGATGTTAGTTTGAGTAAGTAAATCATGTTAGTTTGTGTAAGTAAATCATGTTAGTTTGAGTAAGTAAATCATGTTAGTTTGAGTAAGTAAATCATGTTAGTTTGAGTAGTAGATCATGTTAGTTTGAGTAAGTAGATCATGTTAGTTTGAGTAAGTAGATCATGTTAGTTTGAGTAAGTAAATCATGTTAGTTTGAGTAAGTAAATCATGTTAGTTTGAGTAAGTAAATCATGTTAGTTTGAGTAAGTAAATCATGTTAGTTTGAGTAAGTAAATCATGTTAGTTTGAGTAAGTAAATCATGTTAGTTTGTGTAAGTAAATCATGTTAGTTTGAGTAAGTAAATCATGTTAGTTTGAGTAAGTAAATCATGTTAGTTTGAGTAAGTAGATCATGTTAGTTTGAGTAAGTAGATCATGTTAGTTTGAGTAAGTAGATCATGTTAGTTTGAGTAAGTAAATCATGTTAGTTTGAGTAAGTAAATCATGTTAGTTTGAGTAAGTAAATCATGTTAGTTTGAGTAAGTAAATCATGTTAGTTTGTAAGTAAATCATGTTAGTTTGAGTAAGTAAATCATGTTAGTTTGTGTAAGTAAATCATGTTAGTTTGAGTAAGTAAATCATGTTAGTTTGTAAGTAAATCATGTTAGTTTGAGTAAGTAGATCATGTTAGTTTGAGTAAGTAGATCATGTTAGTTTGAGTAAGTAGATCATGTTAGTTTGAGTAAGTAGATCATCAAGGTAGTTGGAAAATCATGTTAGTTTGTACTCTGAGTGAACAGGAACACACCCTCAGATGGACAAAGAGGTTCCAGGTTGTTTTAGCTAAGCATCCAACTTGCTGTTTGCAATGTTTGCAAATGGCTTTGAATTAAATGTGCAGTATCTTCAGGTATCATAAAATTAATTGCTGCTTTCAACTTTTTCAGAGGCATGTTGAACGAGCCATTCAGTAGTTGAGCATCACAATTTATGTATACTTACTTATCTGTACAAAATATCATTGGTTTAATTTATTTGACTTGATAATGTACACCTGGGGCAATATTCAGGAGAATGGACATTTACAGAATGTTCTGATAGAAATGTATTGTGTAGATCAAATATGACTATCAGATAGATTGGAATAGTAGAGATTGTGTGCTCTATTCATTCTACTTCTATCTTCAACATGCAGTTCCAGATACAGCCCTGCCATTAGTTGAAGGCAGACAATCCAAAGTAGTTACTTTCTGAGATTTGTATTAAAATAGTTGAATACAGATCCTCCAAATTAGCTATTTGTTCCCTGGAAGAAGCAGAAAAAGTTCCTTTCCACAAAGCATAGTTAAAGCTATAGTAATCCCAGTTGATTCTGAGAGCGACTAAACCTGAAGAGCCCCAATGCACATCTCAAATTTAGGGGTTGCCGGGCATTAAAAAAAAAAGTAGTTTAAAACATTTCAATCCTTGAAACAATCTTCATCTGACAAAGATCCTTTTAGGAATCAAGATGTTGTAAACTAGCCCAGTTAACACATGTGTTGGCGCAATTTGAGATTACCTGATACAGTCAGTCACCCCGCTGTAAGTTTCCTCTGTACTCCCTCTGTTCATGGACTGGATTCTGGTCTTTATCACTGTAAATACACAAACAACACCATGTTAAACACTACAACACACACGGATGCAACTAAGAATATATATGGTTGATTTAAGATCCAGACTAAATACAGAAAAAAAGTATAAGCCTTATTGTATGACATTCTAGCGTCTCATAAGAAGTTATAAGACATTCTAAAGCAAGTCCCATGTCTCACCATCTAGATTGGGGGTTGAAAGCCACAGTGGCGGTGATGCCAGCCCATATTACTGCAGTATTATTAATTATATACTGTATATTATAATATTATGTCTCACCATCTACAGGGTTGACAGCCACAGCGGCAGTGCTGCCAGCCAGACAGCCTGCCAGGAAGGACACATAGAACGGGGCGGGGCCCTCCGCTCCTCTCTTCCCCAGGGTGTTCAGGTTGGCAAACAGAGGGAAGTAGATGATGGAGAACGGAACATCCCTGAGAGGAGAGGAGAGGAGAGGAGAGGAGAGGAGAGGAGAGGAGAGGAGAGGAGAGGAGAGGAGAGGAGAGGAGAGGAGAGGAGAGGAGAGGAGAGGAGAGGAGAGGTAGGGAGGGAGGGGTGGAGGGGAGGAAAGGAGAGGAATCAGAGAATGAGAAATCAGCAGAGTAGAGTTTATCATATTGTCATACCTCAGCATTGTGTCTGTGTCTTTATAGATGGACTGTAGTTGTATTTCCTTGATTCCTTGCGTCCTCTTTCCTCGACTCCTTCTCAAACCATCCTGGAGGAGAAGATCTAAGGTCACTTTGTCTCGGACCTTCTCCTCCAAAGCATTTTGAGGAGGCAAGGAGAGAGGACACAAGGAATCAAGTTAAGACAATGCTAGAGTCTAGAGTGGTGTAGTGCTTGGTGGTCAGAGCAGTGTATGTCTCTAAATAGTGTTATGTAGTGTATCAGAGCATGTCTCTAAATAGTGTTATGTAGTGTATCAGAGCAGTGTATGTCTCTAAATAGTGTTATGTAGTGTATCAGAGCAGGCCCTACCTGAGCAGTGTGGCCCCGAGACCCTTGTACAGTCCAGCGATGCCCTTCTCTTTCAGTAGTTCCCTGGTCAGCTGCATGGCGGTGGGGGACTTGGTCGGGACGGCCCCCGGTACTACTGTCTCTGGCATCAGCTTCCTCTGGGCCTCTGGGGGGGGGAAGCATGTTGTTAGATCGCTCTTGCTGTGGTATCTCTATTTGTCTGTCTGTCTATATATCTTAACTAGTTTGCTGGTATTTATTTAGGCCAGATTATTATGAGATGATAAGTCTTTATTAGGGTTATTTACTAGCAGGTCAACAGCCTATGTGATTCCATTATTGACCACAGAGGGCAGCATTTATCCATATTTCAGCTCCCAGAAATATTACAGAAAGGAGGAGATAGGAATCCCATAGAGTACCGCAGTATGAGTCATGATACCCATAAAACCTAGCGTTCAAACAGGGAAATGGTTCCAATCATTTTTCCACCATGCATTTTTCCCATAGGACATTTTTAGAAACACTTAAAATAAGGGCTGTGTTTTGTGTAGGCTTTTTTATTTATTTTTATTTTTTGGGGGGTAGATCAGCTTAATATTGCAGATAGACTGTAACTTCCATCAATGTAATTGATGATAACATGATTTACTTACTCAAACTAACATGATCTACTTACTCAAACTAACATGATCTACTTACTCAAACTAACATGATTTACTTACTCAAACTAACATGATCTACTTACTCAAACTAACATGATCTACTTACTCAAACTAACATGATTTACTTACTCAAACTAACATGATTTACTTACTCAAACTAACATGATTTACTTACTCAAACTAACATGATCTACTTACTCAAACTAACATGATTTACTTACTCAAACTAACATGATTTACTTACTCAAACTAACATGATCTACTTACTCAAACTAACATGATCTACTTACTCAAACTAACATGATTTACTTACTCAAACTAACATGATTTACTTACTCAAACTAACATGATCTACTTACTCAAACTAACATGATCTACTTACTCAAACTAACATGATCTACTTACTCAAACTAACATGATTTACTTACTCAAACTAACATGATCTACTTACTCAAACTAACATGATCTACTTACTCAAACTAACATGATCTACTTACTCAAACTAACATGATTTACTTACTCAAACTAACATGATCTACTTACTCAAACTAACATGATCTATGTAGTCAAACTAACATGATCTACGTAGTCAAACTAACATGATTTTCCACCTACCTTGGCTGTAGTTGATTCAAGAAGGCAGTTTTGGGATATTTAGTTTCGACACTTAACAGCCATATTGTGTTACTGTTCGCGTTCTCAGTAACACTTGACGTTAAACTGTTCTTGTGTAATAAAAACTGTAATTAATCACTTTTGGAGCAACATTTTATTAGCATGTTGTTAGATAATATTTTGGTAATTGCATTTTAATTGCATAGCAATGAGCTGAGAGTTTTTTAGCTGCTGTATTCGAGGAATAGCGACAGTTCCTTCTCCCACTTATGTAATAACTCCATTACTATGCAATTATAAAGACATTTCCAAAGTCCTATGTAACAACAATGTTACTGTGTTTCCTTATGTCACTCATTATGTACATATATATATATAACAATGTTCTTCTATTTTGGGGGTAGATCAGCTTAATATTAATAAGTGTACCTATGATAAAAATTACAGACCTCTACATGCTTTGTAAGTAGGAAAACCTGCAATATCGGCAGTGTATCAAATACTTGTTCTCCCCACTGTTTATATATATATATATTTTTTCTTCTATTTTGGGGGTGGATCAGCTTAATATTGCAGATTGTATCTTCCATCAATGTAATTGTCTGCATCACTTCCAATCCCCCATGTTTATATATACATATACACATATACACACATACATACACACAGACATACATACATACATATCCTTTAAATATATATATATATATTCCCCTTTATTACTTTCCAACCCCACCACCCTTTCCCTACTTGGAGTAAACTAGTGAACAACAATGCTTAGGCCTCTACTTCCAGCTTATACTTACTATCTATATTTTATGGACACAGTCAATTTTACAATAATTCTATTTGGTTTGTTTTTACTCCTGAACTTCTTCTACTCTCAACCTCTCCGATCATTTTCATGATGTCCATCCGGTTTGCTTCTATATGCCATATCTTTCTAACTGTGCTCTTTCACAAAAGCTCCCAACTTATAACCTATATACTTATTATGGATACAGTATGCTTACATTATTAGTTATCTTGTTATTATTTGTTGTTAGTAGTTATTAGTCCCATCCTTCAATTCCATTCAACACCTCCCATCTATCTCTTAACACCATCCATATAGGATTTCTATTTGCCATATATATTTCAACCGTACTGTGATGTTTTACAAAAGTTCTGAACCTTTCTATTCTCATTGTTTCTACAGATTGTGAATTGAAAATAAACATTTTTGCTAAAAGTATTATTATGTTATTGATCGATTGACTATGACTTTTCAGATCACCCAGTAATGCTATCTGCAAGGTTAGCTCCAGGTAAATATTGCAATCCTTTAGCCATTCCTGGACCTGTGTCCAAAAACAAGCTACAAATGGACAGTACCAAAACAAATGATCTAATGATTCTGTCTCTTCGCAGCAAAATCTGCAGAGCTGGGAAGATTGTATCCCCCATATAAATAACATTCTATTGGTAGCAAGAATGTTATATAATAATTTAAATTGAAAGATTCTAAGTTTTGAATCCGGTGTCGTTTTGCGTATCAGTTCATAAACACTATGCCGTGGGATCAGTACGTCAAAAATCTCTTCCCAACTATTTTGCAATCTATATGGGACGGCTGTCAATCCTTTGGTCCTTAAATGAAACTGATATACTTTTTTATTTATCACAGTTTTCCTTAACCAATTATGTTCTTTAATGCATTCCTTACTTTCTCCCCCTTCCACTTTCCTCTTCCATTTTTGCGGTAAGGCTGCAATTATTTGGTTGTAATTTTGGGTAGAGCAGACATTTCCCTATGTTTTTGTTAGCCGCATGTGCGACATAACTCCACCAGTCCTACCGATGATATCATTTACAAAGATTATACTTTTTTAAAGATTTTGTCAAAAAAAATGAAGGTTTTTTGTCAATTAGTATATTTGAGTTTAACCACAATATTTGTTGCATTATTTGTTCTGTCGTTTCTGGAGGATTAAATTGAAACTGCAACCAACTTTCTATGGCTTGTTTTAGAAATAGTGATATCTGGGAGATTATTTCCTTTTCAAATAACTGAAAGTGTGAGGTTGTAATCTGAATAAAGGGAAAAAGGCCATTCTTGAACATTGGGTGAGACAATCGTATTAATTTGTTAGAGAACCTGTTCGGATTTAAGTATAACTTTTGCATGACTGAAGCTTTTAGTGATAGGTCTAATGCTTCAATATTTAATTATTTCTGTCCTCCGAATTCATATTCATTATATAAATAGGCCCGTTTAATTTTGTCTGGCTTGCCATTCCAAATAAAATGGAATATTTTTTTCTCATATATTTTAAAAAACTGTTCGCTAGGCGTAGGCAAGACCATAAGCAAATAGGTAAACTGGGATAATACTAAAGAGTTAATCAGGGTGATTTTTCCACAAATTGACAGGTATTTACCTTTCCATGGTAGCAAGATCTTATCTATTTTTGCTAACTTTCTATTAAAATGTATTGAAGTGAGATCATTTATTTCCTTTGGGATATATATTCCGAGTATATCCACATCACCATCAGACCATTTTATTGGTAAACTACATGGTAATGTTAAAATTGTATTTTTTAGTCAACCAATACGTAATATAGAACATTTGTCATAATTTGGTTGTAATCCAGAAAGGTTAGAAAATGTATCTAGATCCTCTATGAGGCTGTGGAGGGATTCTAGTTGTGGATTTAAAAGAAAACATTAATCATCAGCGTACAATGACACCTTTGTTTTTAAGCCCTGGATTTCTAATCCCCTGATATTATTGTTGGATCTGATTTTAATAGCTAACATCTCGATGGCCACAGTAAATAGATATGCCGATAGGACAACCTTGTTTCACTCCTCTTGACAGTTTAAAACTTTCGGAGAAATAGCCATTATTTACTATTTTACACCTAGGGTTACTATACATGATTTTGACCCATTTTATAAGAGATTCTCCAAAATTGAAATGCTCCAGGCATTTATATATATAAACCCCAGTCATACTTTATCAAATGCCTTTTCAAAGTCTGCTATGAATAGCAGGCCTGGTTTCCAAGATTTTCCATTGTGTTCTATTGTTTCCAATAGTTGTCTTATATTATTTCCAATGTATCTTCCATGTAAAAAACCTGTCTGATTACAATGAATAATATCCGACAATACCTTTTTAATTCTATGTGCTATACATTTTGCTAGAATTTTTGCATCACAACACTGAAGTGTAAGGGGCCTCAAATTTTTTTAATGGACTGGATCTTTATATTTTCCACTTGTATCCTGTTTCAGTAATAATGAGATCAGACCTTCTTCTTGAGTGTCAGATAATCTACCATTTACATAGGAGTGGTTAAAACATGCTAATAACGGTCCTCTTAGTATATCAAAAAAGGTTTGGTATACCTCGACTGGTATGCCATCCAACCCTGGAGTTTTCCCGGACTTAAAGTCTTTAATTGCATCCAGAAGTTCCTCCTCTGTAATTTCACCTTCATATTAGTCTTTCTGTATGGCTGTTAATTTTACATTATCAATAGAAAAAAATCTCTAATTTTAGCTTCAGTTAGAGGAGATGGAGGCGACTGAAACGAAAACATATGCTTAAAGTACTTTGTTTCCTCCTTCAAAATATAATTTGGTGAATCATGGGTTACTCCGTCAATTGTAACTAGTTTCATTAAATTATTTTTGGTAGCATTCCTACAGTTGGGAGAACAAGTATTTGAAACACTGCCGATTTTGCAGGTTTTCCTACTTACAAAGCATTTAGAGGTCTGTAATTTTTATCATAGGTACACTTCAACTGTGAGAGACGGAATCTCAAACAAAAATCCAGAGGAGGAATGGGAGAAGGTCATGTGGTCTGATGAGACAAAAATAGAGCTTTTTGGTCTAAACTCCACTCGCCGTGTTTGGAGGAAGAAGAAGGATGAGTACAACCCCAAGAACACCATCCAAACCGTGAAGCATGGAGGTGGAAACATCATTTTTTGGGGATGCTTTTCTGCAAAGGGGACAGGACAACTGCACCGTATTGAGGGGAGGATGGAGGGGGCATGTATCATGAGATCTTGGCCAACAACCTCCTTCCCTCAGTAAGAGCATTGAAGATGGGTCGTGGCTGGGTCTTCCAGCATGACAACGACCCGAAACACACAGCCAGGGCAACTAAGGAGTGGCTCCGTAAGAAGCATCTCAAGGTCCTGGAGTGGCCTAGCCAGTCTCCAGACCTGAACCCAATAGAACATCTTTGGAGGGAGCTGAGAGTCGGTATTGCCCAGCGACAGCCCCGAAACCTGAAGGATCTGGAGAAGGTCTGTATGGAGGAGTGGGCCAAAATCCCTGCTGCAGTGTGTGCAAACCTGGTCAAGACCTACAGGAAACGTATGATCTCTGTAATTGAAAACAAAGGTTTCTGTACCAAATATTAAGTTCTGCTTTTCTGATGTATCAAATACTTATGTCATGCAATAAAATGCAAATTAACTACTTAAAAATCATACAATGTGATTTTCTGGATTTTTGTTTTAGATTCCGTCTCTCACAGTTGAAGTGTACCTATGATAAAAATGACAGACCTCTACATGCTTTGTAAGTAGGACAAGGTGACTTTTATCAATATATTCGCCTGTATGCTAATTAGCTTCTAATGTGGCTATCACAAAGAACTACAAATGCCATGATGATCTGGACGAGACTGCCGAATTGAGGTAAGAATCTCTGGATTAACTAATGTATTGAATAAATTGGCTACATTTCTTTAAATGGACAATTCTGTGAACTGCCTTATGCCACTTTTAAATTGACACAATACCTGTTAGCAAAGGTGTCATCTAGAGTTGACGTGTAGGAGCTTGCAGGGATTTGTAGTTTTGAATGAAGTCGACCTTGATAAAAATTATCATTTTTGAATCAGAGTAAATAGAGCCGAATATATTGATCAAAGTCACCGAGAGAGATTTACATGGTTATCAAAACGTCACGCTAGGGTAAGCCTATACGAAACACAGCCCTTATTGTAAGTGTTTCTTAAATCCCTTATGGGAAAAATGAATGGTGGAAAAATGATTGGAACCATTTTCCTGTTTGACCGCTAGGTTTTATGGGTATTAAGATACCTCTACTGTGGGGTTTTATTGGGCAATGAATGGAGGAAAACTCTAGACCACCTTTAATCTACACATAGAGACGCGTACAAAGCTCTCCCTCGCCCTCCATTTGGCAAATCTGACCATAATCTGACCATAATTCTATCCTCCTGTTTCCTGCTCACAAGCAAAAACTAAAGCAGGAAGTACCAGTGACTCGCTCAATACGGAAGTGGTCAGATGACGCAGATGCTAAGCTACAGGACTGTTTTGCTAGCACAGACTGGAATATGTTCCGGGATTCTTCCGATGGCATTGAGGAGTACACCACATCAGTTACCGGCTTCATCAATAAGTGCATCGATGACGTTGTCCCCACAGTGACTGTACGTACATACCCCAACCAGAAGCCATGGATTACAGGCAACATCCGCACTGAGCTAAAGGGTAGAGCTGCCGCTTTCAAGTAGTGGGACTCTAACCCGGACGCTTATAAGAAATCCCGCTATGCCCTCCGACGAACCATCAAACAGGCAAAGAGTCAATACAGGACTAAGTTTGAATCGTACTACACCGGCTCTGACGCTCGTCGGATGTGGCAGGGCTTGCAAACTATTACATACTACAAAGGGAAGCACAGCCGCAAGCTGCACAGTGACACGAGCCTACCAGTCGAGCTAAATTACTTCTATGCTCGCTTCGAGGCAGGCAACACTGATGCATGCATGAGAGCATCAGCTGTTCCAGATGACTGTGTGATCACGCTCTCCGTAGCCGATGTGAGTAAGACCTTTAAACAGGTCAACATTCACAAGTCCGTAGGGCCAGACGGATTACCAGGACGTGTACTCTGAGCATGCGCTGACCAACTGGCAAGTGTCTTCACTGACATTTTCAACCTGTCCCTGGCCGAGTCTGTAATACCTACAGTGGCTTGTGAAAGTATTCACCCCCCTTGGCATTTTTCCTATTTTGTTGCCTTACAACCTGGAATTAAATTGGATTTTTGGCGGGTTTGTATCATTTGATTTACACAACATGCCTACCACTTTGAAGATGCAAAATATTTTTTGGGGTGAAACAAATAAGAAATAAGACAAAATAACAGAAAACTTGAGCGTGCATAACTATTCACCCTCCCAAAGTCAATACTTTGTAGAGCCACCTTTTGCAGCAATTACAGCTGCAAGTCTCTTGGGGTATGTCTCTATAAGCTTGGCACATCTAGCCACTGGGATTTATGCCCATTCTTCAAGGCAAAACTGCTCCAGCTCCTTCAAGTTGGATGGGTTCCACTGGTGTACAGCAATCTTTAAATCATACCACAGATTCTCAATTGGAGGTCTGGGCTTTGACTAGGCCATTCCAAGACATGTAAATGTTTCCCCTTAAACCACTCGAGTGTTGCTTTAGCAGTATGCTTAGGGTTATTGTCCTGCTGGAAGGTGAACCTCCATCCCAGTCTCAAATCTCTGGAAGACTGAAACAGGTTTCCCTCAAGAATTTCCCTGTATTTAGCACCATCCATCATTCCTTCAATTCTGACCAGTTTCCCAGTCTCTTCCGATGAAAAATATCCCCACAGCATGATGCTGCCACCACCATGCTTCACAGTAGGGATGGTGTTCTCGGGGTGATGAGAGGTGTTGGGTTTGCGCCAGACACAGCGTTTTCCTTGATGGCCAAAAAGCTAAATGTTTGTCTCATCTGACCAGAGTACCTTCTTCCATATGTTTGGGGAGTCTCCCACATGCTTTTTGGCAAACACCAAACGTATTTGCTTATTTTTTTCTTTAAGCAATGGCTTTTTTCTGGCCATTCTTCCGTAAAGCCCAGCTCTGTGGAGTGTACGGCTTAAAGTGGTCCTATGGACAGCTACTCCAATCTCCGCTGTGGAGCTTTGCAGCTCCTTCAGGGTTATCGTTGGTCTCTTTGTTGCCTCTCCGATTAATGCCCTCCTTGCCTGGTCCGTGAGTTTTGGTGGGCGGCCCTCTCTTGGCAGGTTTGTTGTGGTGCCATATTCTTTCAATTTTTTAATAATGGATTTAATGGTGCTCCGTGGGATGTTCAAAGTTTAGGATATTTTTTTATAACCCAACCCTGATCACAACTTTGTCCCTGACCTGTTTGGAGAGCTCCTTGGTCTTCATGGTGCCGCTTGCTTGGTGGTGCCCCTTGCTTAGTGGTGTTGCAGACTCTGGGGCCTTTCAGAACAGGTGTATATATACTGAGATCATGTGACAGACCATGTGACACTTAGATTGCACACAGGTGGACTTTATTTAACTAATTATGTGACTTCTGAAGGTAATTGGTTGCACCAGACCTTATTTAGGGGCTTCATAGCAAAGGGGGTGAATACATATGCACGCACCACTTTTCCGTTACATATTTTTTTAGAATTGTTTGAAACAAGTTATATTTTTTATCTCACTTCACCAATTTGGACTATTTTGTGTATGTCCATTACATGAAATCAAAATCAAAATCCATTTAAATGATAGGTTGTAATGCAACAAAATAGGAAAAACGCCAAGGGGGATGAATACTTTTGCAAGGCACTGTACTGTACATGTTTCAAGCAGACCAGGACGTGTACTCAGAGCATGCGCTGACCAACTGGCAAGTGTCTTCACTGATATTTTCAAACTGTCCCTGACCTACATGTTTCAAGCAAACCACCATAGTCCCTGTGCCCAAGGACACTAAGATAACCTGCCTAAATGACTACCGACCCGTAGTACTGACGTCTGTATCCATGAAGTGCTTTGAAAGGCTGGTCATGTCTCACATCAACACCATCATCCCAGAAACCCTAGACTCACTCCAATTTGCATACCGCCCCAACAGATCCACAGATGATGCAATATCTATTGCACTCCACACTGCCCTTTCCCACCTGGACAAAAAAAAAAACTACGTGAGAATGCTGTTCATAGACTACAGCTCAGCGTTCAACACCATAGTGCCCTCAAAGCTCATCACTAAGCTAATGACCCTGGGACTAAACACCTCCCTCTGCAACTGGATCCTGGACTTCCTGACAGGCCGCCCCCAGGTGGTAAGGGTAGGTAACAACACATCCTCAACACGGGGGCCCCTCATTGGTGTGTGCTCAGTCCCCTCCTGTACTCCCTGTTCACCCATGACTGCATGGCCAGGCACGACTCCAACACCATCATTAAGTTTGCCGATGACACAACAGTGGTAGGCCTGATCACCAACAACGATGAGACAGCCTATAGGGAGGAGGTCAGAGACCTGGCCGTGTGGTGCCAGGATAACAACCTCTCCCTCAACGTGAGCAAGACAAAGGAGATGATTGTGGACTACAGGGGGAAAAAAAGTGGACTGAGCACGCCCCCATTCTCATCGACGGGGCTGTAGTGGAGCAGGTTGAGACCTTCAAGTTCCTTAGTGTCCACATCACCAACAAACTATCATAGTCCAAACACACCAAGACAGTCGTGAAGAGGGCACGACAATGCCTATTCCCCCTCAGGAGGCTGAAAAGATTTGGCATGGGTCCTCAGATCCTCAAAAAGTTCTACAGCTTCACCATCAAGAGCATCCTGACTGGTTGACTCACCGCCTGGTATGGCAACTGCTCGGCCTCCGACCACAAGGTGCTACAGAGGGTAGTGCGATTCTCCTCCATCTCTCTCTTACCGATTCTCCTCCATCTCTCTCTTACCGATTCTCCTCCATCTCTCTCTTACCGATTCTCCTCCATCTCTCTCTTACCGATTCTCCTCCATCTTTCTCTTACCGATTCTCCTCCATCTCTCTCTTACAGATTCTCCTCCATCTCTCCAAATCTCTTACAGATTCTCCTCCATCTCTCTAAATCTTATACAGATTCTCCTCCATCTCTCTAAATCTCTTACATATTCTTTTCCACCTCTCTCTTACAGATTCTCCTCCATCTCTCTAAATCTCTTACAGATTCTCCTCCATCTCTCTAAACCTCTTACAGATTCTCCTCCATCTCTCTAAATCTCTTACCAATTCTCCTCCATCTCTCTCTTACCAATTCTCCTGCATCTCTCTCTTACCAATTCTCCTCCATCTCTCTCTTACCAATTCTCCTCCATCTCTCTCTTACCAATTCTCCTCCATCTCTCTCTTACCGATTCTCCTCCATCTCTCTCTTACCAATTCTCCTCCATCTCTCTCTTACCAATTCTCCTCCATCTCTCTCTTACCAATTCTCCTCCATCTCTCTCTTACCAATTCTCCTCCATCTCTCTCTTACCAATTCTCCTCCATCTCTCTCTTACCAATTCTCCTCCATCTCTCTCTTACCAATTCTCCCAGCATCTTGAAGCTGAATCTTCAACATCTCCATAGGAGTTGTGACGATAACCTGTGGGGATAAACACAAATACAAGATGAAAATATCTGACAGGAACATTTGATAAGGTGTTATAACCAGGGGTGGGATATTTTCTGGGGGATAGATACAGGTGAAGGATCTTAATTTGACCACCCTGTTGTTGCAGGAAATTTCCCGCACAGCAGGAAATGCAAACTTGTAGTGTATTCAAGGTTTAAACAGGCTTCTAAAGTTTGTAATGTCCACTTTATATAATTTCAGACTTGATTTGCCCTAACTAAAAATGGATCATATCAACCCTTACAAAAATGTCCATTAATTATAATCCACACAATAACTCATATTTCCTGTTGCTGCAGGATTATTTTCCTGCTGTGAGAAACTGGTCAAATTAAGATCCTACGTAGGCCTTTATTACTCAAGACTCCATGTGAGCTGCATCAGCACTACACTAGAGCAATGGTTAAAAGTCTGCTTTACGATGAGAGCCGGTTAATAGCAAAGACATTCAACCTCCTTACAGCTAATAGCTAGCATTAGCAACTCCGCAGTGTAATCAATAGGTCCAGAAGCTAGCTACGACCTACCGGACATCAACGTGCTAACGGCTATCAACTGACTAACTCCTATTTATGTTACCAATAAGTCCAGGAGCTAGACCACACTACGGACACCATTAACTCATATCCACCCTTGTTTTCCCTGTGTAATCCAGGCTGTAGTAACTGGATAACGGGATTAAAGGTGAGATGGCCAGTTGGTCCTCCTAATCTAATCTACTGTTCCCTGGGCTGTTCTGAGCTAGCTGTCTTTGACCTAATGGACGGTTAGGTTGACTACTACACTCCTAACACAGATACACACACACTCACGCTTTCCCTCTCTCACGCACACACAAACACGTACAAAACGCACACAAATACACACACTGTGCTCCTGGTCCAGTGACCTGAAATGCTTTATCTGGCTGATACCTCCAGTACAGCTGAGGTAGAGAATACTTAAGTCTATTCCCACAGTCTCTGTCTGAGTCTGGCCAGGAAGACTGTTGAATAGTTGATCACCTGCTGTGTTGCTAACTTCCTTATGTTCCTAAGGATGACATGCCAGAGCTCTCTGTCCTTCATAGAAGCTGCAGACAACATGTTGTGGAGACCTAGACCAGACATAGTGGTTATGTTGTGGAGACTAGACATAGTGGTTATGTTGTGGACACCTAGACTAGACATAGTGGTTATGTTGTGGAGACCTAGACTAGACATAGTGGTTATGTTGTGGAGCCTAGACATAGTGGTTATGTTGTGGACACCTAGACTAGACATAGTGGTTATGTTGTGGACACCTAGACTAGACATAGTGGTTATGTTGTGGAGACCTAGACTAGACATAGTGGTTATGTTGTGGACACCTAGACTAGACATAGTGGTTATGTTGTGGAGACCTAGACTAGACATAGTGGTTATGTTGTGGAGACCTAGACTAGACATAGTGGTTATGTTGTGGAGACCTAGACTAGACATAGTGGTTATGTTGTGGAGACTAGACATAGTGGTTATGTTGTGGAGACCTAGACTAGACATAGTGGTTATGTTGTGGAGACCTAGACTAGACATAGTGGTTATGTTGTGGAGACTAGACATAGTGGTTATGTTGTGGAGACCTAGACTAGACATAGTGGTTATGTTGTGGACACCTAGACTAGACATAGTGGTTATGTTGTGGAGACCTAGACTAGACATAGTGGTTATGTTGTTGAGACCAGACATAGTGGTTATGTTGTGGAGACCTAGACTAGACATAGTGGTTATGTTGTGGAGACCTAGACCAGACATAGTGGTTATGTTGTGGAGACCTAGACTAGACATAGTGGTTATGTTGTGGAGACCTAGACTAGACAAAGTGGTTATGTTGTGGAGACTAGACATAGTGGTTATGTTGTGGAGACCTAGACTAGACATAGTGGTTATGTTGTGGAGACCTAGACTAGACATAGTGGTTATGTTGTGGAGACTAGACTTAGTGGTTATGTTGTGGAGACCTAGACTAGACATAGTGGTTATGTTGTGGAGACTAGACATATTGGTTATGTTGTGGAGACTAGACATAGTGGTTATGTTGTGGAGACTAGACATAGTGGTTATGTTGTGGAGACTAGACATAGTGGTTATGTTGTGGAGACCTAGACTAGACATAGTGGTTATGTTGTGGACACCTAGACTAGACTTAGTGGTTATGTTGTGGAGACCTAGACTAGACATATTGGTTATGTTGTGGAGACTAGACATATTGGTTATGTTGTGGAGACTAGACATAGTGGTTATGTTGTGGAGACTAGACATAGTGGTTATGTTGTGGAGACTAGACATAGTGGTTATGTTGTGGAGACCTAGACTAGACATAGTGGTTATGTTGTGGAGACCTAGACTAGACATAGTGGTTATGTTGTGGAGACCTAGACTAGACATAGTGGTTATGTTGTGGAGACTAGACATAGTGGTTATGTTGTGGACACCTAGACTAGACATAGTGGTTATGTTGTGGAGACCTAGACTAGACATAGTGGTTATGTTGTGGAGACCTAGACTAGACATAGTGGTTATGTTGTGGACACCTAGACTAGACATAGTGGTTATGTTGTGGAGACCTAGACTAGACATAGTGGTTATGTTGTGGAGACCTAGACTAGACATAGTGGTTATGTTGTGGAGACCTAGACTAGACATAGTGGTTATGTTGTGGAGACCTAGACTAGACATAGTGGTTATGTTGTGGAGACCTAGACATATTGGTTATGTTGTGGAGACTAGACATAGTGGTTATGTTGTGGAGACCTAGACTAGACATAGTGGTTATGTTGTGGAGACCTAGATTAGACATAGTGGTTATGTTGTGGAGACCTAGACTAGACATTGTGGTTGTGTTGTGGAGACTAGACATAGTGGTTATGTTGTGGAGACCTAGAAGAGACATAGTGGTTATGTTGTGGGGACCTAGACTAGGCATAGTGGTTATGTTGTGGTGACCTAGACTAGACATAGTGGTTATGTTGTGGAGACTAGACATAGTGGTTATGTTGTGGACACCTAGACTAGACATAGTGGTTATGTTGTGGAGACATAGACTAGACATAGTGGTTATGTTGTGGAGACTAGACATAGTGGTTATGTTGTGGAGACTAGACATAGTGGTTATGTTGTGGACACCTAGACTAGACATAGTGGTTATGTTATGGAGACCTAGATTAGACATAGTGGTTATGTTGTGGAGACCTAGATTAGACATAGTGGTTATGTTGTGGATACCTAGACTAGACATAGTGGTTATGTTGTGGAGACCTAGACTAGACATAGTGGTTATGTTGTGGAGACCTAGACTAGACATAGTGGTTATGTTGTGGAGACCTAGACATATTGGTTATGTTGTGGAGACTAGACATAGTAGTTATGTTGTCGAGACCTAGACTAGACATAGTGGTTATGTTGTGGACATCTAGATTAGACATAGTGGTTATGTTGTGGAGACCTAGACTAGACATAGTGGTTATGTTGTGGAGACCTAGACTATACATTGTGGTTATGTTGTGGAGACTAGACATAGTGGTTATGTTGTGGAGACCTAGAAGAGACATAGTGGTTATGTTGTGGGGACCTAGACTAGGCATAGTGGTTATGTTGTGGAGACCTAGACTAGACATAGTGGTTATGTTGTGGAGACTATACATAGTGGTTATGTTGTGGACACCTAGACTAGACATAGTGGTTATGTTGTGGACACCTAGACTAGACATAGTGGTTATGTTGTGGAGACCTAGACTAGACATAGTGGTTATGTTGTGGACACCTAGACTAGACATAGTGGTTATGTTGTGGAGACCTAGACTAGACATAGTGGTTATGTTGTGGAGACCTAGACTTGACATAGGGGTTATGTTGTGGAGACCTAGACTAGACATAGTGGTTATGTTGTGGACACCTAGACTAGACATAGTGGTTATGTTGTGGAGACCTAGACTAGACATAGTGGTTATGTTGTGGACACCTAGACTAGACATAGTGGTTATGTTGTGGAGACCTAGACTAGACATAGTGGTTATGTTGTGGAGACTAGACATAGTGGTTATGTTGTGGAGACTAGACATAGTGGTTATGTTGTGGACACCTAGACTAGACATAGTGGTTGTGTTGTGGACACCTAGACTAGACATAGTGGTTATGTTGTGGAGACCTAGACTAGACATAGTGGTTATGTTGTGGAGACCTAGACTAGACATGTTGGTTATGTTGTGGAGACTAGACATAGTGGTTATGTTGTGGAGACCTAGAAGAGACATAGTGGTTATGTTGTGGGGACCTAGACTAGGCATAGTGGTTATGTTGTGGAGACCTAGACTAGACATAGTGGTTATGTTGTGGAGACTAGACATAGTGGTTATGTTGTGGACACCTAGACTAGACATAGTGGTTATGTTGTGGACACCTAGACTAGACATAGTGGTTATGTTGTGGACACCTAGACTAGACATAGTGGTTATGTTGTGGAGACCTAGAATAGACATTGTGGTTATGTTGTGGAGACCTAGACTAGACATAGTGGTTATGTTGTGGAGACCTAGACTAGACATAGTGGTTATGTTGTGGACACCTAGACTAGACATAGTGGTTATGTTGTGGAGACCTAGACTAGACATAGTGGTTATGTTGTGGACACCTAGACTAGACATAGTGGTTATGTTGTGGAGACCTAGACTAGACATAGTGGTTATGTTGTGGAGACCTAGACTAGACATAGTGGTTATGTTGTGGAGACTAGACATAGTGGTTATGTTGTGGAGACTAGACATAGTGGTTATGTTGTGGACACCTAGACTAGACATAGTGGTTATGTTGTGGAGACCTAGACCAGACATAGTGGTTATGTTGTGGAGACCTAGACCAGACATAGTGGTTATGTTGTGGAGACTAGACATAGTGGTTATGTTGTGGAGACCTAGACTAGACATAGTGGTTATGTTGTGGACACCTAGACTAGACATAGTGGTTATGTTGTGGAGACCTAGACTAGACATAGTGGTTATGTTGTGGAGACTAGACATAGTGGTTATGTTGTGGAGACTAGACATAGTGGTTATGTTGTGGACACCTAGACTAGACATAGTGGTTGTGTTGTGGACACCTAGACTAGACATAGTGGTTATGTTGTGGAGACCTAGACTAGACATAGTGGTTATGTTGTGGAGACCTAGACTAGACATAGTGGTTATGTTGTGGACACCTAGACTAGACATAGTGGTTATGTTGTGGAGACCTAGACTAGACGTACGGCCCAGTACATCACTGGGGCAAAGCTCCCTGCCATCCAGGACCTCTATACCAGGCGGTGTCAGAGGAAGGCCCTCAAAATTGTCAAAGACTCCAGCCACCCTAGTCATAGACTGTTCTCTCTGCTACCGCACGGCAAGCGGTACCGGAGTGCCAAGTCTAGGTCCAAAAGACTTCTCAACAGCTTCTACCCCCAAGCCATAAGACTCCTGAACAGCTAATCATGGCTACCCGGACTATTTGCACTGCCCCCCCACCCCATCCTTTTTACGCTGCTGCTACTCTGTTAAGTATTTATGCATAGTCACTTTAACTCTACCCACATGTACATATTACCTCAACTACCTCAACTAGCCGGTGCCCCCGCACATTGACTCTGCAACGGTACCCCCCTGTATATATAGCCTCCCTACTGTCACTTTATTTTACTGTATATATAGCCTCCCTACTGTCACTTTATTTTACTTCTGCTATTTTTTTCTCAACACTTTTTTTGTTGTTGTTTTATTCTTACTTTTTTTTGTTTAAAATAAATGCACTGTTGGTTAAGGGCTGTAAGTAAGCATTTCACTGTAATGTCTGCACCTGTTGTATTCGGCGCATGTGACCAATAAAATTTGATTTGATTTGATTTGATTTGACATAGTGGTTATGTTGTGGAGACTAGACATAGTGGTTATGTTGTGGAGACTAGACATAGTGGTTATGTTGTGGACACCTAGACTAGACATAGTGGTTGTGTTGTGGACACCTAGACTAGACATAGTGGTTATGTTGTGGAGACCTAGACTAGACATAGTGATTATGTTGTGGAGACCTAGACTAGACATGTTGGTTATGTTGTGGAGACTAGACATAGTGGTTATGTTGTGGAGACCTAGAAGAGACATAGTGGTTATGTTGTGGGGACCTAGACTAGGCATAGTGGTTATGTTGTGGAGACCTAGACTAGACATAGTGGTTATGTTGTGGAGACTAGACATAGTGGTTATGTTGTGGACACCTAGACTAGACATAGTGGTTATGTTGTGGACACCTAGACTAGACATAGTGGTTATGTTGTGGACACCTAGACTAGACATTGTGGTTATGTTGTGGAGACCTAGACTAGACATAGTGGTTATGTTGTGGAGACCTAGACTAGACATAGTGGTTATGTTGTGGACACCTAGACTAGACATAGTGGTTATGTTGTGGAGACTAGACATAGTGGTTATGTTGTGGAGACTAGACATAGTGGTTATGTTGTGGAGACTAGACATAGTGGTTATGTTGTGGACACCTAGACTAGACATAGTGGTTATGTTGTGGAGACCTAGACCAGACATAGTGGTTATGTTGTGGACACCTAGACTAGACATAGTGGTTATGTTGTGGAGACCTAGACCAGACATAGTGGTTATGTTGTGGAGACCTAGACTAGACATAGTGGTTATGTTGTGGAGACCTAGACTAAACATAGTGGTTATGTTGTGGAGACCTAGACTAGACATAGTGGTTATGTTGTGGAGACCTAGACCAGACATAGTGGTTATGTTGTGGAGACCTAGACCAGACATAGTGGTTATGTTGTGGAGACTAGACATAGTGGTTATGTTGTGGAGACCTAGACTAGACATAGTGGTTATGTTGTGGAGACCTAGACCAGACAATGTGGTTATGTTGTGGAGACCTAGACCAGACATAGTGGTTATGTTGTGGAGACTAGACATAGTGGTTATGTTGTGGAGACCTAGACCAGACATAGTGGTTATGTTGTGGAGACTAGACATAGTGGTTATGTTGTGGAGACCTAGACTAGACATAGTGGTTATGTTGTGGAGACCTAGACTAGACATAGTGGTTATGTTGTGGAGACTAGACATAGTGGTTATGTTGTGGAGACCTAGACCAGACATAGTGGTTATGTTGTGGAGACCTAGACTAGACATAGTGGTTATGTTGTGGAGACTAGACATAGTGGTTATGTTGTGGACACCTAGACTAGACATAGTGGTTATGTTGTGGAGACCTACACCAGACATAGTGGTTATGTTGTGGATACCTAGACTAGACATAGTGGTTATGTTGTGGAGACCTAGACTAGACATAGTGGTTATGTTGTGGAGCCTAGACATAGTGGTTATGTTGTGGACACCTAGACTAGACATAGTGGTTATGTTGTGGAGACCTAGACTAGACATAGTGATTATGTTGTGGAGACCTAGACTAGACATGTTGGTTATGTTGTGGAGACTAGACATAGTGGTTATGTTGTGGAGACCTAGAAGAGACATAGTGGTTATGTTGTGGGGACCTAGACTAGGCATAGTGGTTATGTTGTGGAGACCTAGACTAGACATAGTGGTTATGTTGTGGAGACTAGACATAGTGGTTATGTTGTGGACACCTAGACTAGACATAGTGGTTATGTTGTGGACACCTAGACTAGACATAGTGGTTATGTTGTGGACACCTAGACTAGACATTGTGGTTATGTTGTGGAGACCTAGACTAGACATAGTGGTTATGTTGTGGAGACCTAGACTAGACATAGTGGTTATGTTGTGGAGACCTAGACTAGACATAGTGGTTATGTTGTGGAGACCTAGACTAGACATAGTGGTTATGTTGTGGAGACTAGACATAGTGGTTATGTTGTGGAGACTAGACATAGTGGTTATGTTGTGGACACCTAGACTAGACATAGTGGTTATGTTGTGGAGACCTAGACCAGACATAGTGGTTATGTTGTGGACACCTAGACTAGACATAGTGGTTATGTTGTGGAGACCTAGACCAGACATAGTGGTTATGTTGTGGAGACCTAGACTAGACATAGTGGTTATGTTGTGGAGACCTAGACTAAACATAGTGGTTATGTTGTGGAGACCTAGACTAGACATAGTGGTTATGTTGTGGAGACCTAGACCAGACATAGTGGTTATGTTGTGGAGACCTAGACCAGACATAGTGGTTATGTTGTGGAGACTAGACATAGTGGTTATGTTGTGGAGACCTAGACTAGACATAGTGGTTATGTTGTGGAGACCTAGACCAGACAATGTGGTTATGTTGTGGAGACCTAGACCAGACATAGTGGTTATGTTGTGGAGACTAGACATAGTGGTTATGTTGTGGAGACCTAGACCAGACATAGTGGTTATGTTGTGGAGACTAGACATAGTGGTTATGTTGTGGAGACCTAGACTAGACATAGTGGTTATGTTGTGGAGACCTAGACTAGACATAGTGGTTATGTTGTGGAGACTAGACATAGTGGTTATGTTGTGGAGACCTAGACCAGACATAGTGGTTATGTTGTGGAGACCTAGACTAGACATAGTGGTTATGTTGTGGAGACTAGACATAGTGGTTATGTTGTGGACACCTAGACTAGACATAGTGGTTATGTTGTGGAGACCTAGACCAGTCATAGTGGTTATGTTGTGGAGACCTAGACTAGACATAGTGGTTATGTTGTGGAGACCTAGACTAGACATAGTGGTTATGTTGTGGAGCCTAGACATAGTGGTTATGTTGTGGACACCTAGACTAGACATAGTGGTTATGTTGTGGAGACCTAGACTAGACATAGTGGTTACGTTGTGGAGACCTAGACTAGACATAGTGGTTATGTTATGGAGATCTAGACTAGACATAGTGGTTATGTTGTGGGGACCTAGACTCGACATAGTGGTTATGTTGTGGAGACTAGACATAGTGGTTATGTTGTGGAGACCTAGACCAGACATAGTGGTTATGTTGTGGAGACCTAGACTAGACATAGTGGTTATGTTGTGGAGACCTAGACTAGACATAGTGGTTATGTTGTGGAGACCTAGACTAGACATAGTGGTTATGTTGTGGAGACCTAGACTAGACATAGTGGTTATGTTGTGGAGACCTAGACCAGACATAGTGGTTATGTTGTGGAGACCTAGACTAGACATAGTGGTTATGTTGTGGAGACCTAGACTAGACATAGTGGTTATGTTGTGGACACCTAGACTAGACATAGTGGTTATGTTGTGGAGACCTTGACCAGACATAGTGGTTATGTTGTGGAGACCTAGACTAGACATAGTGGTTATGTTGTGGAGACTAGACATAGTGGTTATGTTGTGGACACCTAGACTAGACATAGTGGTTATGTTGTGGAGACCTAGACTAGACATAGTGGTTATGTTGTGGAGACCTAGACTAGACATAGTGGTTATGTTGTGGACACCTAGACTAGACATAGTGGTTATGTTGTGGAGACCTTGACCAGACATAGTGGTTATGTTGTGGAGACTAAGAGTAGACATAGTGGTTATGTTGTGGAGACTAGACACAGTGGTTATGTTGTGGACACCTAGACTAGACATAGTGGTTATGTTGTGGAGACCTGTTACATTATCATGAATCAAAACTTTTACAGTTGAAAGAACAATCCGTAACCAACACCTGACCATTAGACAATGTCTACGAATCAGGTCAGAGAGTGTGTGTACTTGCCCCACACCCCACCACCCACTCACCTGACATGTACCTGCCCCACACCCCGCCATCATCTCTTTGACCAAGGTGAGCTTCTGACTGGAGAGAGAGAGAGAGAGAGAGAGAGAGAGAGAGAGAGAGAGAGAGAGAGAGAGAGAGAGAGAGAGAGAGAGAGAGAGAGAGAGAGAGAGAGAGAGAGAGAGAGAGAGAGAGAGAGAGAGAGAGAGAGAGAGAGAGAGAATAGATATGAGAGTTATACAGCAACCATGAGAGAGAGAGATGGTGGTCTGTTGATATCCCTCTGGTGGTGTGGGGGCTGTGCTTTGGCAAAGTGGGTTGGGCTATATCCTGCCTGGTTGGCCCTGTCCAGGGGTATCGTCGGACAGTGCCACAGTGTCTCCCGACCCCCCCTGTCTCAGCCTCCAGTATCTATGCTGCAATAGTCTATGTGCCGGGGGGCTAGGGTCAGTCTGTCCTATCTGGTGTTATTCTCCTGTCTTATCTGGTGTCCTGTGTGATCTTAGGTATGCTCCCTCTAATTCTCTCTCTCTCTCTCCCCTCCCGGAGGACCTGAGCCCTAGGACCATGCCTCAGGACTACCTGGCCTGACGACTCCTGTCTGTGCCTGTCCCCAGTCCACCTGGTCGTGCTGCTGATCCAGTTTCTGCTTTTCTGTCTGTGACTATGGAACACTGACCTGTTCACCGGACGTGCTACCTTGTCCCGGACCTGCTGTTTCAACCCTCTCTCGCTCTCTCTGTCTCTCTCTCTCTCTCTCTCTCTATCTCTCTCTCTACCTGCACCTGCTGTCTCAACCTGTGAATGCTCGGTTATGAAAAACCAACTGACATTTACTCCTGATGTACTGACCTGTTGCACCCTCTATACCCAGTCCATAGCATCAATGCCTTCCTCTTGCAGGAACTGCTGACACACTCCAGCCACATGAGGTCTAGCATTGTCTTGCATTAGGAGGAATCCAGGGCCAACTGCACCAGCATATGGTCTCACAAGGGGTCTGAGGATCTCATCTCGGTACCTAATGGCAGTCAGGCTACCTCTGGCGAGCACATGGAGGGCTGTGCGGCCCCCCAAAGAAATGCCACCCCACACCATGACTGACCCACCGCCAAACCGGTCATGCTGGAGGATGTTGCAGGCAGCAGAACGTTCTCCATGGCTTCTCCAGACTCTATCACGTCTGTCACATGCTCAGTGTGAACCTGCTTTCATCTGTGAAGAGCACAGGGCGCCAGTGGCGAATTTGCCAATCTTGGTGTTCTCTGGCAAATGCCAAATGTCCTGCACGGTGTTGGGCTGTAAGCACAACCCCCACCTGTGGACGTCGGGCCCTCATACCACCCTCATGGAGTCTGTTTCTGACCGTTTGAACAGACACTTGCACATTTGTGGCCTGCTGGAGGTCATTTTGCAGGGCTCTGGCAGTGCTCCTCCTGCTCCTCCTTGCACAAAGGCGGAGGTAGCAGTCCTGCTGCTGGGTTGTTGCCCTCCTACGGCCTCCTCCACGTCTCCTGATGTACTGGCCTGTCTCCTGGTAGCGCCTCCATGCTCTGGACACTACGCTGACAGACACAGCAAACCTTCTTGCCACAGCTCGCATTGATGTGCCATCCTGGATGAGCTGCATTACCTGAGCCACTTGTGTGGGTTGTAGACTCCGTCTCATGCTACCACTAGAGTGAAAGCACCGCCAGCATTCAAAAGTGACCAAAACATCAGCCAGGAAGCATAGGAACTGAGAAGTGGTCTGTGGTCACCACCTGCAAAACCAGTCCTTTATTGGGGGTGTCTTGCTAATTGCCTATAATTTCCACCTGTTGTCTATTCCATTTGCACAACAGCATGTGAAATGTATTGTCAATCAGTGTTGCTTCCTAAGTGGACAGTTTGATTTCACAGAAGTGTGATTGACTTGGAGTTACATTGTGTTGTTTAAGTGTTCCCTTTATTTTTTTTGAGCAGTGTATATATATCAGCCTCCTGTCATAACAAAAGGAAGACGTCACGTCACATGTCTAGTGTTGTAGCTAATCTGTGACATTGAAACAAACGTTTGGAACACTGAACAGAGACACATTAATCATTTACAAGATGGCCTACCATTCAGCAGGCAGGGTAATCATTCACAGTCAATCATTCGCCTACTCAGCCGTGGTGCGGTGTGTGTGTGTGTCACCATAGAGACAGAGATAGATAGATGCTCTAGAAACATATTCAATTTCATCCATGCACACACACGGCACACATATCGATAACACACACACACATACCATCGGACACACCAGCGGGGGACAGTGGCCTCAGTAACAACAGAAGTTCAGTATTGATATTTGTCAAGTGATATTTGTCTGCTCTCACATGCTCTACTTTTCCTTATATGCACAAATTATTGATTTTCCAGAGATAGCTTTATAGTAGTTTTCCAGAGATAGTTATACAGTCGTTTTCCAGAGATAGTTTTCCAGAGATAGGATCGTTTTATAATAATAATATGCCATTTAGCAGTCACTTTTATCCAAAGCGACTTACAGTCATGTGCGCATACATTTTTACGTATGGGTGGTCCCGGGGATCGAACCCACTACCCTGGCGTTACAAGCGCCATGCTCTACCAATTGAGCTACAGAGGACCAGACGTTTTCCAGAGATAGGATGGGATAGTTTTCCAGTAGTTTTCCAGAGATAGTTTTCCAGTAGTTTGACAGAGATGGTTTTCCAGTTTTTTTTCCAGAAATGGTTTTCCAGTTTTTTTTCCAGAGATGGTTTTCCAGTTTTTTTTCCAGAGATGGTTTTCCAGTTTTTTTTCCAGTTTTTTTTCCAGAGATGGTTTTCCAGTTTTTTTTTCCAGAGATGGTTTTCCAGTTTTTTTTTTCAGAGATGGTTTTCCAGTTTTTTTTTCCCAGAGATGGTTTTCCAGTTTTTTTTCCAGTTTTTTTTCCAGAGATGGTTTTCCAGTTTTTTTTTCAGAGATGGTTTTCCAGTTTTTTTTTCCAGAGATGGTTTTCCAGTTTTTTTTTCCAGAGATGGTTTTACAGTTTTTTTTCCAGAGATGGTTTTACTGTTTTTTTTCCAGAGATGGTTTTCCAGTAAAGCAAAGCCTTAGTAGAAAACCAATCAAAGAAACAGAATTTGTTCCAAATGGCACCCTTTTTCCATATTTAGTGCACTACTTTTGACCAGGGCCCATAGGGATCAGGTCAAAAGTAGTGCACTATAAATGGAATAGGGTAGCATTTGGAAAGAAGACAGGAGTCAAACAGCATAATATGTCAGGGATTGTGTTGGCTCAGAGAGCTCTCATTCTCTCTCTCTCTCTCTCTCTCTCTCTCTCTCTCTCTCTCTCTCTCTCTCTCTCTCTCTCTCTCTCTCTCTCTCTCTCTCTCTCTCTCTCTCTCTCTCTCTCTCTCTCTCTCTCTGTGTGTGTGTCTGTCTTAGTCATCACATCTTACCCATCCTTGGAGAGGTATTGTCTGAAGAAGTCATTTGCTGCTAACTTGATGGCTTTCTCTGGAGTGACCAGGGTTAGGTTCACCGCAGACCCTGTGCCAATGAGAGGAAGTGAGAGAGAGCAGGCGTGTTGTCATGTATGGTGGTAACATGTCATTATGTTCGCAATAAAAGGACATCGTTAGTCCTGTATACCTGAGGCTGTGGTTAGCTGTGTGATGGTGAGAGTGAGTTGTCTCACAGCTAAGCAGCTTTGATAGTCTCAGCGTTCAGCAGTGGTCAGCAATTTTCGCTATGACCTCACTGTGCTATGTTTGGCTTTAGTATGTACCTGTCACTTTAAAGTGCACAAACATACTTCCACGTCCTCACCCTGACCTACCTCTGTACATCGCGAAGTATCCTGACCTACCTCTGTACATCCCGAAGTATCCCTCTGAGCGGATAGTCTTGATAAGGCAGTCAGACCTACAAGACACAACCACTAGTTCTACAAAATATAACACCAACTAGTTACTACAACATATACACCACTAGTTACTACACTATAACACCAACCTAGTTTACTACAACATTATAACAACCAACTAGTTACTACAACATATCACAAACAGTTACTACAACATACATAAACACCAACTAGTTACGACACTATACACAACTATTTACAACTACACCAACTACTAAACATATAACCCACTAGCTAATAAACCAACTAGTACTACAACATATAACCAACTAGTTACTACACATATAACTATAACTTAACACTAGACTACAACATATAACAACTAGTTACTACAACATATAACACCACTAGTTACTACAACAATAACACACAACTATACTACAAAACCAACTAGTTACTACAACATATAACACCAACTAGTACTACAACATATAACACCAACTAGTTACTACAACATATAACACCAACTAGTTACTACAACATATAACATCAACTAGTTTACTACAACATATAACATCAACTAGTTACTACAACATATAACACCAACTAGCTACTACAACATATAACACCAACTAGTACTACAACAATAACACCAACTAGTTACTACAACATAAACACCAACTAGTTACTACAAACATATAACACCAACTAGTTACTACAACATATAACATCAACTAGTTACTACAACATATAACACCAACTAGTTACTACAACATATAACACAACTAGTTACTACAACATATAACACCAACTAGTTACTACAACATATAAACACCAACTAGTTACTACAACATATAACACCAACTAGTTACTACAACATATAACACCAACTAGTTACTACAACATATAACATCAACTAGTTACTACAACATATAACATCAACTAACTACAACATATAACACCAACTAGTTACTACAACATATAACACCAACTAGTTACTACAACATATAACACCAACTAGTTACTACAACATATAACACCAACTAGTTACTACAACATATAACACCAACTAGTTACTACAACATATAACATCAACTAGTTACTACAACATATAACACCAACTAGTTACTACAACATATAACACCAACTAGTTACTACAACATATAACATCAACTAGTTACTACAACATATAACACCAACTAGTTACTACAACATATAACACCAACTAGTTACTACAACAACTATAACACCAACTAGTTACTACAACATATAACATCAACTAGTTACTACAACATATAACCACACAACTAGTTACTAACACCATTACACATATAACACCAACTAGTTACTACAACATATAACACCAACTAGTTACTACAACAATAACACCAACTAGTTACTACAACATATAACACCAACTAGTTACTACAACATATAACACCAACTAGTTACTACAACATATAACACCAACTAGTTACTACAAACATATAACATCAACTAGTTACTACAACATATAACACCAACTAGTTACTACAACATATAACACCAACTATTACTACAACATATAACACCAACTAGTTACTACAACATATAACACCAACTAGTTACTACAATACAACATATAAACAATACACCTAGTTACTACAACACTATAACACACCAACTAGTTACTACAAACATATAACACAACTAGTTACTACAACATATAACACCAACTAGTTACTACAACATATAACACCAACTAGTTACTACAACATATAACAACCAACTAGTTACTACAACATATAACACCAACTAGTTACTACAACATATAACATCAACTAGTTCACTTACCAACATATAAACATAACCAACTAGTTACTACAACATATAACATCAACTAGTTACTACAAAACACACTTATAACAACCAACTAGTTACTACAACATAAACACCAACTAGCTACTACAACATATAACACCAACTAGTTACTACAACATATAACACCAACTAGTTACTACAACATATAACATCAACTAGTTACTACCAACATATAAAACACCCAACTAGTTACTACACAACATATAACACCAACTAGTTACTACAACATATAACAACCAACTAGTTACTACAACATATAAACTCAACTAGTTACTACAACTATAACACCAACTAGTTACTACAACATAACATAACCAACTAGTTACTACAACATATAACACCAACTAGTTACTACAACATATAACACCAACTAGTTAACTACAACATATAACATCACTAGTTACTACAACATATAACATCAACTAACTACAAACATATAACACCAACTAGTGTACTACAACAATAACACCAACTAGTTACTACAACATATAACACCAACTAGTTAACTACAACATATAACACCAACTAGTTACTACAACATATAACACCAACTAGTTACTACAAAACATATAACACCAACTAGTTACGACAACATATAACATCAACTAGTTACTACAACATATAACACCAACTAGTTACTACAACATATAACACCAACTAGTTACTACAACATATAACATCAACTAGTTACTACAACATATAACACCAACTAGTTACTACAACATATAACACCAACTAGTTACTACAACATATAACACCAACTAGTTACTACAACATATAACATCAACTAGTTACTACAACATATAACACCAACTAGTTACTACAACATATAACACCCAACTAGTTACTACAACATATAACACCAACTAGTTACTACAACATATAACACCAACTAGTTACTACAACATATAACATCAACTAGTTACTACAACATATAACACCAACTAGTTACTACAACATATAACACCAACTAGTTACTACAACATATAACATTAACTAGTTACAACAACATAACATAACTGCATAGTACACTTCCCAACAGTATGTACATGGAATTTACACATTTTGAATTCTGGTTCATTTTCTTCATAAATGAAATGGGTAAATAATATCAAATAATTACATTTTCACATTACTCAGTAATGCTTACAAATTATGTGTAATAAAAACCATTCTCTCAGGTAAATAAGATATTCAACAACTAGACAGAGATTGATATCAATGGTAATTGGTGAAATCAATGTCCCTGTAAAAGCAAATATTGCTTTTATCCATAATAATGTCATAATGTAGGTGTTCTACTCGCACTGTATCTGCAAGCTGTTGGCTCGAGCGCATGTGCTAAGACCAGAGGGGGCACATTGTCTGAGTGGTGTTGGGTGGTGGGGGTGTCTGGGTGGTGGGGGTGTCTGGGTGGTGGGGGTGTCTGGGTGGTGGGGGGTGTCTGGGTGGTGGGGGTGTCTGGGTGGTGGGGGTGTCTGGGTGGTGTTGGGTGTCTGGGTGGTGGGGGTGTCTGGGTGGTGGGGGTGTCTGGGTGGTGGGGGTGTCTGGGTGGTGGGGGTGTCTGGGTGGTGGGGGTGTCTGGGTGGTGTTGGGTGTCTGGGTGGTGTTGGGTGTCTGGGTGGTGGGGGTGTCTGGGTGGTGGGGGTGTCTGGGTGGTGGGGGTGTCTGAGTGGTGTTGCCTCCTGAGTGGCACAGTGGTCTAAGGCACTGCATCGCAGTGCTAACTGTGCCACTAGAGATCCTGGTTCGAATCCAGGCTCTGTCGTAGCCGGCCGCGACCGGGAGACCCATGGGGCGGCACACAATTGGCCCAGCGTCGTCCAGGGTAGGGAAGGGAATGGCCGGCAGGGATGTAGCTCAGTTGGTAGAGCATGGCGTTTGCAATGCCAGGGTTGTGGGTTCGATTCCCACGGGGGGCCAGTATGAAAAATAAAAAAATAATGTATGTACTCACTAACTGTAAGTCGCTCTGGATAAGAGCGTCTGCTAAATGACTAAAATGTAAATGTGTTGGGTGGTGTTGGCTGTCGTTGGGTGGTGTTGGCTGTCGTTGGGTGGTGTCTGGGTGGTGGTAGGTGTCTGGGTGGTGGTGGGTGTGTGTCCAGTGTGAGTGTCCAGTGTATGTGAGTGTCCAGTGTGTGTGAGTGTCCAATGTATGAGTGTCCAGTGTGTGAGTGTCCAGTGTGTGAGGGTGTTAGTGTGTTAGTGTCCAGTGTAGGCGTGACAGGACAAATAGACAACAGGAGTAATAATAGTAGCAGGAGAAATACACAGGAACTAATATAGTCAGTAAATGCTGTGTGTGTGTGTGTGTGTGTGTGTGTGTGTGTGTGTGTACATACATGCTGGTGTACAGGCGTGATCCATTTTGCTGGTTCTGCAGGCGGGTCTTGGCCAGGTCAATAGGAAACACACAGCTCACACCAATCAGCCCTGCGATCCCACCATTTATCAATTTGGCAGGCAAACTGGGGAGGAACAGAGGAGGAAGAGGGAGGAGGAGATAGGAGGAAGAGGGGAGGAAGATAGAGGAGGAGAGAGGAGGAAGAGGGAGGAAGATGGAGGAGGAGGAGAGAGGAGGAAGAGGGGAGGAAGATGGAGGAGGAGAGAGGAGGAAGAGGGAGGAAGAGGGAGGAGGAAGAAGGAGAAGATAAGGATTAAGGGGAGAAGAAGGAGAGAAATAACGCTGCAGATCACATCTGTCACTTTTATTGTGTTACATAGGGGACAATATCACACTGCTGACACCAAATGGTTACATAGGGGACAATATCACACTGCTGACACTAAATGGTTACATAGGGGACAATATTACACTGCTGACACCAAATGGTTACATAGGGGACAATATTACACAATGCTGACACCAAATGGTTACATAGGGGGACAATGTCACACTGCTGACACCAAATGGTTACATAGGGGACAATATCACACTGCTGACACCAAATGGTTACATAGGGGACAATATCACACTGCTGACACCAAATGGTTACATATGGGACAATATCACACAGCTGACACTAAATGGTTACATAGAGGACAATGTCACACTGCTGACACCAAATAGTTACATAGGGGACAATGTCACACTGCTGACACCAAATGGTTACATAGGGGACAATATCATACTGCTAACACCAAATGGTTACATAGGGGACAATGTCACACAGGTGACACCAAATGATTACATAGGGGACAATGGCACACTGCTGACGAAGACCGAGTTTGGGAAACGTTGACATAGGGGATAATATCCCACAGCTGACACCAAATGTGGCGATATGTTAATTTTATCAGCTATGGTACAAATATGATACATAAATGATTTTATAGAACACAGGGACCTTAAATAAAACTGTGAGGGAGGAAGAAGGGAGAAGACAAAAGCAGACTTTAACACTGAAGACATTAATATTTGGGCCTGCATAGATTAATCCAAGACGGCGTAGCAGTGCGGTCGTGTTCTTTGTTGTGTGTCCGTGTAAATAGCCTGTTTTTTGTATTTTTTTTTGTATTTTTCGTACATATTTCCCTATCACACTTTTCATCCTTCTACTAAATATACTTTCCTGCAACCCGCCTCACTCAATGTGGAACGGATTCTATTATTTACTCACCTTTATCTAGAATCTCCAGTTGAAACTAGCCAGCCAGCTAACTAGCTAACTAGCTACTTGCTATTAGCCACCGTTAGCGGTTTTCACCCAGAACATCGGATTTTCTGCCGGAAATAACTGAATCACTGGACCCTAACACCGGATCGCAACTAGCTAGAATATATAGGGCCTGCATAGTAGTGCACTATATGGGGAATAGGGTACCATTTGGGACGCACCACTGCTAAATGTTTACAGCCAATCCATGCTAACCTGATCTGCTTGTCAGCCATTTATTCTCTGGGCCCCGGACGATCTTCAGAGTGTTTATGTGTTCCACAGTACAACCGGCCGTCTGTCTGATGGTTATGAGCCCAGTCAGGACATCTGTTGTGTGTTTCTTTCTCTAGTCTATAATGGAGTCAGGTTGCTTGTCAGCTCTTTCTTAGTTTCTCAGTCAGTTTGCTTGTCTGTCAGCTGGTGTCTGAAGCGCTGGCCGGTAGAGGTTGAGGGGGTATCTGAAACAGATAGAAGATGAGAAAGAGAGAGCGTGTTAGTTAATAACATCAATGAGTTGTTAGTTAATAACATCAAGGAGTTGTTAGTTAATAAAATAAAGGAGTTGTTAGTTAATAACATCAAGGAGTTGTTAGTTAATAAAATAAAGGAGTTGTTAGTTAATAACATCAAGGAGTTGTTAGTTAATAACATCAAGGAGTTGTTGGTTAATAAAATAAAGGAGTTGTTAGTTAATAACATCAAGGAGTTGTTAGTTAATAAAATAAAGGAGTTGTTAGTTAATAAAATAAAGGAGTTGTTAGTTAATAACATCAATGAGTTGTTAGTTAATCACATCAAGGAGTTGTTAGTTCATAAAATAAAGGAGTTGTTAGTTAATAACATCAAGGAGTTGTTAGTTAATAAAATAAAGGAGTTGTTAGTTAATAAAATAAAGGAGTTGTTAGTTAATAACATCAATGAGTTGTTAGATAATAACATCAATGAGTTGTTAGTTAATAACATCAATCAAATCAAATCAAATTGTATTTGTCACATACACGTGTTTAGCAGATGTTATTTTGGGTGCAGCGAAATTAGTTGGTAGTTAATAACATCAAGGAGTTGTTAGTTAATAACACCAAGGAGTTGTTAGTTAATAAGATAGTTAGTTATTACAGTATTTAGGTACTTAGTTATTACAGTATTTAGGTACTTTGTTATTACAGTATTTAGGTACTTAGTTATTACAGTATTTAGGTACTTAGTTATTACAGTATTTAGGTACTTTGTTATTACAGTATTTAGGTACTTTGTTATTACAGTATTTAGGTACTTAGTTATTACAGTATTTAGGTACTTTGTTATTACAGTATTTAGGTACTTAGTTATTACAGTATTTAGGTACTTAGTTATTACAGTATTTAGGTACTTTGTTATTACAGTATTTAGGTACTTAGTTATTACAGTATTTAGGTACTTAGTTATTACAGTATTTAGGTACTTTGTTATTACAGTATTTAGGTACTTAGTAATTACAGTATTTAGGTACTTAGTAATTACAGTATTTAGGTACTTTGTTATTACAGTATTTAGGTATTTAGTAATTACAGTATTTAGGTACTAGATCGGACCACCCCTCCTTTCTAGATCGGATCACCCCTCCTTTCTAGATCGGATCACCCCTCCTTTCTAGATCGAATCACCCCTCTTTTCTAGATCGGATCACCCCTCCTTTCTAGATCGGATCACCCCTCCTTTCTAGATCGGACCACCCCTCCTTTCTAGATCGGACCACCCCTCTTTTCTAGATCGGACCACCCCTTCTGTCTAGATCAGACCACCCCTCCTTTCTAGATCTTACCACCCCTCCTTTCTAGATTGGATCACCCCTCCTTCCTAGATCTGACCACTCCTCCTTTCTAGATCTTACCACCCCTCCTTTCTAGGTCGGACCACCCCTCCTTTCTAGATCGGATCACCCCTCCTTTCTAGGTCGGATCACCCCTCCTGTCTAGAGAGAACTCGCAGCATGAATATATCTATATTGTGGATAGAAACTAAAGGCCTATAGCTAATACAGCTGGAACAGTTCATATGTAGGCCTATCCTGTGTTCATACTGTCAAAAGCTAATACTGACACTGAATGCAGCTGTGCTCCAGTGTGTTATGTTTGGATGGGAATACAGGGTTCTGAATGTGCTGTGCTCCAGTGTGTTATGTTTGGATGGGAATACAGGGTTCTGAATGTGCTGTGCTCCAGTGTGTTATGTTTGGATGGGAATACAGGGTCTGGATGTGCTGTGCTCCAGTGTGTTATGTTTGGATGGGAATACAGGGTTCTGGATGTGCTGTGCTCCAGTGTGTTATGTTTGGATGGGAATACAGGGTCTGGATGTGCTGTGCTCCAGTGTGTTATGTTTGGATGGGAATACAGGGTTCTGAATGTGCTGTGCTCCAGTGTGTTATGTTTGGATGGGAATACAGGGTTCTGAATGTGCTGTGCTCCAGTGTGTTATGTTTGGATGGGAATACAGGGTTCTGAATGTGCTGTGCTCCAGTGTGTTATGTTTGGATGGGAATACAGGGTTCTGAATGTGCTGTGCTCCAGTGTGTTATGTTTGGATGGGAATACAGGGTTCTGAATGTGCTGTGCTCCAGTGTGTTATGTTTGGATGGGAATACAGGGTTCTGAATGTGCTGTGCTCCAGTGTGTTATGTTTGGATGGGAATACAGGGTCTGGATGTGCTGTGCTCCAGTGTGTTATGTTTGGATGGGAATACAGGGTTCTGGATGTGCTGTGTGCTGTACTGTAGCGGATTGGGGTCAGACCAGGTCCCTGTGGAGAATCTTCCCCTCCTCTAACTGTGGCTTTTCAATCTATCTATCTATCTATCTATCTATCTATCTATCTATCTATCTATCTATCTATCTATCTGTCTGTCTGTCTGTCTGTCTGTCTGTCTGTCTGTCTGTCTGTCTGTCTGTCTGTCTGTCTGTCTGTCTGTCTGTCTGTCTGTCTGTCTGTCTGTCTGTCTGTCTGTCTGTCTGTCTGTCTGTGTCTCTCTCTCTCTCTCTCTCTCTTTCTCTCTTTCTCTCTCTATCCTCTGAACTAATATCTATTAGTCCTACCAGGAATGCACTCCCACGCAGGTATAATACTTTTCTATCTGGCGTGTGTGTGAGAGAGAGAGAGAGAGAGAGAGAGAGATGTGTGTTGTCAGTTCATCACTAGAATCCACCTGGAGATACAACTGTGACAGTAAAAGTGTTCTAACATTTTGTTATGTTACAGCCTTATTCTAAAATGTTTTAAATTAATGTTTTCCCTCATCAATCTACACACAATACCCCATAATGACAAAGTGAAAACAGGTTTTTAGACATTTTTGCAAATGTATTAAAAATTAAAAAAAACAGAAATATCTTATTTACATAAGTATTCAGACACTTTGATATGAGACTCGAAATTGAGCTCAGGTGCATCCTGTTTCCATTGATCATCCTTGAGATGTGTCTACAACTTGATTGGAGTCCATCTATGGTAAATTCAATTGATTGGACATGATTTGGAAAGGCACACAGCTGTCTATATAAGTGTAACCGGTGTGAAATGGCTAGCTAGTTAGCGGTGCGCACTAGTAGCGTTTCAATCGGTGACGTCACTCGCTCGGAGACCTTGAAGTAGTTGTTTCCCTTTGCTCTGCAAGGGCCGTGGCTTTTGTGGAGCGACGGGTAACGGTACGACTGTTGTCGATGTGTGCGGAGAGTGACGGAAGCAACACTGTTACATAAGGTGTTGCTTGCCTCGACGCGAGCAGACATTTAGCTCGTCTGGTAGGCTTGTGTCACTGGGCAGCTCGCGGTTGGGTAATAGTTTGCAAGCCCTGCCACATCCGACGAGCGTCAGAGCCGGTGTAGTACGATTCAATCTTAGTCCTGTTTGTTGGTTCGTCGGAGGGCATTGCTGGATTTCTTATAAACGTCCGGATTAGTGTCCCGGTCCTTGAAAGCGGCAGCTCTAGCCTTTAGATCAGTGCGGATGTTGCCTGTAATCCATGGCTTCTGGTTGGGATATGTACGTGCAGTCAATGTGGGGACGACGTCATCGATGCACTTATTGATGAAGCCGGTGACTGATGTGGTGTACTCCTCAATGCCATCGAATGAATCTCAGAACATATTCCAGTCTGTGCAAGCAAAACAGTCCTGTAGCTTAGCATCCGCGCCATCAAACCACTTCCATATTGAGCGAGTCACTGGTACTTCCTGTTTGAGTTTTTGCTTGTAAACAGGAATCAGGAGGATAGAATTATGGTCAGATTTGCCAAATGGAGGGTGAGGGAGAGCTTTGTACGCGTCTCTGTGTGTGGAGTGAATGTGGTCTCGAGTTTTTTTTCCTCTGGTTGCACATTTGACATGCTCATAGAAATTAGATCAAACGGATGTACAGTGGGGAAAAAAAGTATTTAGTCAGCCACCAATTGTGCAAGTTCTCCCACTTAAAAAGATAAGAGAGGCCTGTAATTTTCATCATAGGTACACGTCAACTATGACAGACAAATTGAGGAAAAAAAATCCAGAAAATCACATTGTAGGATTTTTTATGATTTTAATTGCAAATTATGGTGGAAAATAAGTATTTGGTCACCTACAAACAAGAAAGATTTCTGGCTCTCACAGACCTGTAACTTCTTCTTTAAGAGGCTCCTCTGTCCTCCACTCATTATCAGTATAAAAGACATCTGTCCACAACCTCAAACAGTCACACTCCAAACTCCACTATGGCCAAGACCAAAGAGCTGTCAAAGGACACCAGAAACAAAACTGTAGACCTGCACCAGGCTGGGAAGACTGAATCTACAATAGGTAAGCAGCTTGGTTTGAAGAAATCAACTGTGGGAGCAATTATTAGGAAATGGAAGACATACAAGACCACTGATAATCTCCCTCGATCTGGGGCTCCACGCAAGATCTCACCCCGTGGGGTCAAAATGATCACAAGAACGGTGAGCAATAATCCCAGAACCACACGGGGGGACCTAGTGAATGACCTGCAGAGAGCTGGGACCAAAGTAACAAAGCCTACCATCAGTAACACACTACGCCGCCAGGGACTCAAATCCTGCAGTGCCAGACGTGTCCCCCTGCTTAAGCCAGTACATGTCCAGGCCCGTCTGAAGTTTGCTAGAGTGCATTTGGATGATCCAGAAGAGGATTGGGAGAATGTCATATGGTCAGATGTAACCAAACATATAACTTTTTGGTAAAAACTCAACTCGTCGTGTTTGGAGGACAAAGAATGATGAGTTGCATCCAAAGAACACCATACCTACTGTGAAGCATGGGGTGGAAACATCATGCTTTGGGGCTGTTTTTCTGCAAAGGGACCAGGACGACTGATCCGTGTAAAGGAAAGAATGAATGGGGCCATGTATCGTGAGATTTTGAGTGAAAACCTCCTTCCATCAGCAAGGG